ATTCTGGAGCCTGTGCTCTTAACAAAACCACAATTCTACCTCTCCTGAACCAGTCGCTGTTAATTCTTGAGATCATGTCTCCTGCAGAGTGTAATAAAACTCAAATCTAGCCATGCCATTCCCCTACTGTAAATCCTTCAATGGCTTGGCATTGCTCTTAACATATAGTCCAAAACTCTTCACGTGATCCACACGATCAGTTCCTTATCTATCTCTCTAGCCTTGTCTCCCGTCATCCCTCTCCCCTCCCTCCGTGGACTCCAACCAGACTGGGTTTTTCTCAGCTCCTTGCTACCAAAAAGTCTATGCACATACTGATTGCTTTGCCTGAAATCACTCTCCTGCCATGAACACTCCCTCCACCTGAGCAATGCCTACTCTTCCTTTAGATTTCAGCTTAAACATGGAAATCTTCCTTCATCAACTCCAGATAAGTTCTGAACCTCTGCTGTGTGCTTTTCATAATCTTAGTAAACCTTCAGAGAGCTCAGAAGGAATGACCCTTCCTAGGAATGTGAGATTCAAGACAGAGCAGTCACTGGCCTCTAGAACCTTCTCATCTACAAGTCAGTGTTGAAGAGGAAGCTCAAGAAAAAGTTCAAATGAGGGAATCTAAGCTATTGTGCCTCAACTTTTTTTTTAATACAAGCAACTTGAGAACTGAATAAAATCTATGGGGCTTCTCCCCCAGAAAAATTCACAGAGGAAAAATTTTTGTAACATTTCCAATGTTCCAAAGATCCCCTAAAGTCCATTTATTCACCTCAGGTTAATAACCCCAACCACAAGCCGAGTGAGAATTTCATATACACAAACACACTGGTTCCCTAGTTATTTGGTTAATATTCATCACGTGAGACACAGTGACCTATGCCTGTGATCCCAGCACTTTAGGATGCTGAGGTGAGAGGATTGCTTGAGGCTTGAGGATTGCTTAAGACCCTCATCTCTACAAAAAAAAAAAAAAAAAAAAAAAAAATCAGCCAGGTACTACTGCACACACCTGTAGTACTATCAGAAAAAGATGAATCCACAATTATAGTGCGACCATTCAAAACCCACTGTCGGTAACCAATAGATCCAGCCGAAATAAAATCCATCAGGATACAGTTGACTTGAGGACCATTATCAATCAGCTGGATCTGACTGGCATTAATAGAATATTCTACCCACTATCAACAACATCACATTCTACTCAAGCTCTCCTAGAACATTCACTGAGATAGACCACAAAACATATTTTAACAAATTTAAGAGGATAGGGACATAAAACATACATGGTTCTAGATTAATAGCACTAATTACTTAAACATAAGTAGTCCTCTCATATTTTAATGGACACATTCCCTAAATAATATCTATTTTCCTTAACTTTTGTTTTCTACTCAACAATATTCCTTCTGATCGCCTCTGCCTATTCGTGCTGTGCCCAAACTTAAAGATTAAAACTTTAAAACAGTATAATAATAAAAGCATAAACAAAGTTAACCATTGAAAACTAAACTTCAGAAAATAATGCAATCTTTATGACAGACGGGATTAATGTCCACAATATACAAGAAACAGATTTTATAAATGTCTTGAAAAGAGCACATTTATTCTTGACTCTTAATCCATTCTCTATATGGTAGCCCAAATAATATCTACTTGAACTTACGTTGACTTCAATTTTTTAAATG